TGAGTAGCTGGAGGAAGCAGGGGTTTGGTGTGAGAAGCCCCAGTCTGAGTGCTACTGCTAAGAACTGTGGGGCCTTGGGTGAGCCGCTTCATCTCTCTGAGCTCAGGTGTAACAGTTTTTACCGTTGAATCATCCTGGAATGCCATTTTCTCCAAGAAGAGGCTTGGCTAACCTCACTGTCATCCAGCTGGTTGGGTTAACCACCACAAAACAAGCATGAAGTATTAATGTGAAGAACCTGGAGACTCACTTCTCTGCCCTGCCCTGCCTTGCCACTGACCTTGGGCAAGTTGTTGTACAAGTTGTTGCCTCTCTGTGGACCTCACCTATCTCCTCATTACAGCAAGGATGCTAACATTGCCCATGATGGAGAACAGTTAGTCAGTCATATACTCTGTCATGTAACTGAAATGGTGATAGAAAACCTTTCCAATGGAATTAGAAGATGAAGAGGCTTTCTGGAGGAGTGTGTTAAGAGCTGGGTCACAAGGGCTGGATTGGGGTCAGCAGGTAAGGGTACCGGGTTGGGTGCACAACAGGGCAGAGGACCAAACCTCACTTAGCAGGGAAGGCTGCTGCTTTGGCTCTTTTCTTCCTGTCTACCTCCATCAGCATCCTCCATGGTCACAACTCACGCCCTCAACTCTCAATTTGAGAGACTATTTGTTGACATACTTTTAATTAAATAATAGCTCTTGAGAAATTGAAAAATATTTCTACTATAAACACACACTGGTTTTAAGTTGCATCCCAATTCCAAAACCTTTAAGTCATGGTTTCAAAGTTTATCTTAGACTTGAGAAAGATACAGTTTTGTCATTTCAGAATGAGTACTGCCGAAAACAGTCATGTGGACTTCGAGAATAACATTTGAGTTCCTCTTCTGCTGCATACTAGCTTTGTTGTTCTGGGCATGTCCCTTGACTTCTCTAAGCATCAACTCATTCTTAAATTGCTGGGCATAGGGGTGAGCAGTTAAGGTTGATTGAACATAAATGTTAATTCAGTACATATTTTGTCTAAAATTAGGGATTGCCACTTTTTTTTTTTTAAAGTACATGCTATCATTTAGGGTAGTACAACAGAGCAGTGGTCCTCAACTGGGGCAGTTTTGCCCCTTGCAATATTTGGCAATGTCTAGAGACATTTTTGGTTGTCTTAGTTGTGAGGGAAGTGCTTAGAACCTGGGGAGAGAGGCTAGGAATATTGCTCAGCATCCTACAACACAGGACAGCCCACAGCACAGGATAATCTGGACCAAATGTTCATCCAGGTTAAGGAGCTTGGTGTAGAGGTTAAGAAGATGGATTCTGGAGCCTGGCTGACTAGGTTTGAAGCCTGGCTCAGCTACCTACTTTGTATCCTTGGTCAGCTCCTCTGTCCCTCAGTGTCTTTATCTGTGAGAGGACAGATGATGGACTCTGCCTCCTGGGGACGTTGTGAGGGTTGTTTGACTTCAAGCAGATAGTACATTTTAAACAGATTGGCTTCTGGGAGGTACTCAGTGTCAGCTCTTATTTCAAGTACTAAATGAAGGCTAGATTTTGTGAAAATACCTGGTGACAGTACTAAGACCTCAGATGAGTTATTTTAACAACTTGAGCCAAAGTTTAAAACAAAAAATAAGTTGTGGGGGTCACATGAAATCAAAGATATAATAGCACTGTGGAAAGAATGGAAAATCTTACTAATACATTTGTGTCAGTGTTATTGCCTCAAACTCCATTCAGTAAGACAGTGTTCAGGATAAAGCAATGAACTCTCCCAAGCCAGAATGTAACTCAGCATTGGGGGTAAGAGAGAGGCAGGCTTAGCCAGCACACTGCAGGCCTGCAGGGCATTGGTCCTTAAGTACATTTTGGTATGTTCAGGAAGCTGCCTGTGATGTACGTTTAGGTACAAACTGTGTCCTAGCTTCACAGACCACTTTCCCCAAAGGAGAGCTAGGAGAGCCATACCATACATGCCTCTTCTGCAGACTTTAAACTCAGAAAAACAGCACTTGTTACTGTTCCATTTCTGATTTCTCTGCCCATTTTCCCACTATCAAATGAAGGAGTTGGATTGCTGGCCTGGACTCCAGTGCCTACTGGAGCCCTTGCTGTAACCACACAGGACTAAATGATGATTATTACCTTTAACAGTTATCTAATATTAGCAAGCAGTTATCTAGCAGGGACTGTGCCAAGCAATTTACATAAATAAACTCATGCAATCCTCAGAACAACTATATGAAACATTGGGCATTATATCCATATTGCTGATGATGTCATTGGGGTTAAGAGATGTTAAATAACTTGCCCAAGAATGCATAATGCTAGATCCACATCAATCCTAGCAGACATACAATACTCCAAGCCAGAATGTGCAATGATCCTGGCAGACCTAGACACTTAATTCTTTTTTCTTTTTTTTTTCCATTTTAATCAGTTTTATTGATTCATGCTTTCAGTTCTTATTCAGTTAAAAACAAGGCACAATAAATATATCTTCTTAATGCTCTATAAATGCATGCAGCTCATTCTGTATATCAAAAGTAATAAATAATGGCGATAAAACACCAAGACAGTTATAAAAATGACAACCCAGCCTCAAACATAGCATTTAACAGTCCAATCTAGAACAATAACCCAATACAATACATAAAAGTGCCACATATAAAAACATGCAGTGTATATATCCACTCCAGTACTTGGCTTGCTTATGCTTGATATTCTTGGAAAACATAACAGGGCATTTTTAATTCCCTTAAAAAGGTTAACATAATGCAAAACAGTGCAAGTTAGAATCACTGACTTCAGTATGATTATAGTCATATGGCAAAAACTCTTTACAAATTGCATACAAAGAGGAAAATAAAATCAAGGATGATCCTTACAGTATATTTAGTGGAAGTCAGACTGAAATTTTTGTGGTACAAAAGAGGAAACTACACATTTTGAACAGACAAAACAAAGCCAGAAACTAATGCAGAATAGAAAGCGTGCATTTAATAGTAGAAATCCTAAAGTTGGATTCAGTATAAATTGATTGAAAGCAAGAACATTTAAGCATGATGGATACAAGGCAAACAATCTTCACTTGATAAATAATCCAGCATTACCACTACTGTTATGATTGAGGTGCGAGCTATTTAAAGGAGTGGCCAACTCTCTAGCACAGATGAGGGTTCCTTCACCTGAATCCTCCCAAAGACTCTTGAAATAAATCACTTGGTGATAAAAGGCAACCCCTGCACACCCATCCCATCAGAATCAACTCATATCGTGTTTATACAAAAGGAAAAAAAAACACATTGTTTTGTGCTTGGAATGGGTTTTGAAGGAGCTTATTCTCTCATTTCTTTCCCTTTTGCTTAAATCAGATAAAGAAGCTTTCCAGGTGTAAGAACTTATACAGTGATGCTCGGTACTTTATTCACAGAGCTTGAAACCATTTCATTTCCTGAGCCTCTGGGATTGGTGAAGGAGCATATATTTTACAATTTGCAGGTTTTAAGCAAAATCAGATACTCTAAAACGAAGGCAAGTGCACTTTTCTTTGTCCTTAAAGGAACTTCATTCGTAGCAAAACGTGTACAGTCAAGGCCTGTTTTAAAACACAGATATGCCCAAGCCAGTCACATTGTGACCCTGGTCCCTACTGTAACAGAATCAGAGGGGACATAAGTCATCGTTATCTTGATCTAACTAGAAAAAAAGAGAGAGAGTACAGTATTGTGGTATATGATCTAGATGTTTTAAAGAACAGCTCTTCTATTTAGTATCACTGGGCTCTAAACAGTGAAATCTATTGTCATGGTAGAAAAACACTAGGTTGCAAAGTCACATGTTTCCATTTATTAAAAAAAAAAAGCTAAAGTAAAAAAATTCACTGTGACACCTGAGAGCATCACTCACTCTTTTAGGTTTTCCTTTAGGAAGTGGTATCTAAACTTCAGAGGTGGTGGGTGGGGCCTTGGTTTAGTGAACCTCCTACCTCATATTACGACATGTAGGTTCATCTCCCACCTGAGTGAAGCATACAGATATTCTACAATGTTGACATAAATAGAAATTATAGCACAAAAGTGTTTTATGTCCCCGTTTAAAAAATAAGACCTCAATGTGCAATGAAAACCTACCATAAGATAAAGTGGTTTTGTTTCCTTTTATTTTCTATGACCTATAGAACCTAATCTTTAAAAAAAAAAAAGTACAGTTATAGTTAACTTCAAAATAGGAAGCACAATTAATAAATATTAAGAAGACTAGTTAAAATGGCAACAAAATACAGCAAAAGCTTTCCAAACTGGAATTTTTAATTCACCTCATTATTTGTTAAATTCAGTGCACACTGATTTTTGGTTTTGGTCTCTGTGTGTTGGGGTGGTTTTTGTTTTATTTTGTTTATTTTTGTTCAACTGAGAGTTTTTCCACAGAGTACAGAAGGAGAAAGACTTTAAGCAGCATGACTACCCTCTGACATTGAAAGATGGTACCTTATTTTACATATAATGAAAATCAGTGTCTATTCTATTCTCATTTATATTGATAAATAATTCCCTAAAAAGACCAAATTTGACAATATCACCTGCTCCAAAATTTAAGATTTGGGGGTGGAAAATTGCGTTATATGTGAATTTAATAAACACATGTTCTTAACCCTTAAATGTATCACACTGTAAAAACTGGGAAGATATAGTCTCATCCTATTGCATCCAACTTGCCACTTAAAATGCTTGTTTTAAAGTAAGAAAATCTAGGATCTTCCTGGCAACTATAATAGCCAAAGAAAACCAGCAGTGACTGGGGATAAAAATGAACTGCTGAGACGAAACGATCACTGTAACTCCTAGTAAATGCCAGTGCTATCCTTATTGTCTACCTGTGATTCTGGAAGCTTTCAGAGTTTCACTTTGAGACTTGTAACCAGATCTAAACCAGATCTAAACTTTTTCTTCCCTCTCCAGTTTTCCCAGTCACACTCAAGATATAAAATCGTGCAACTGTGGAAAAGGAAGTTAGACAAGCTGGAAGAAGAAAGGGGGTATCATTTCAATAGGTCACTCTTTTTAAGAACAAATGGTATCCACAAACTCAATGTTCAGAATTTTATGTATGTCACAAAATTTTTCCAGCTATTTTCTTCAATTTCTGCCAAAAGATTCTGCTTCTAGAACTGATTTAGAATACATGAAAAATCAGAAGGGGAGAGTGTCAAGTCTAACAGGTCACAAAATGGATGTAAAACATGAAATCAATGTGCATTGAAAATGAGAAAGTACGCTTTTTAGAAGCCAGATTGAATGGTACATACAAATAAACTTTCATTCAGTTAGGCTGGTAAATATACCAACATCCTAACGTTTTGGAATGTTTTCCAGTGTTTAAAAAAAAATAGCAGCTACCATAGCCACTATTTTAGAGTGGTTTAAGACCTCTCTGGTTGTTATATGGTGATTTGTTGTTCCTAATTTTGTTGGCAGTAGATTTACTGGTCAGACTCACAATCCTCCACAACTGTGGTCCACAGGAATCGGAACTCTTCAGTCAAGGTTCTCTTCTGCAGTTTTCATTAGAATAGCAAGCCGGCTTCCAGATACCCTTCCTTTCTGAATAGCACTCATCAGCTGCAAAAACTCATTGAGCTCAACCTCCCCATTTTTGTTCAAATCTACTTCATTCAGAATTTCATGTAATGTATTTTCATCCATTTGCACATTGATACTGTCCAATACACGCTGAACATCAACAATGGTAATAAAGCCTTTTTGGTCTGCATCAAACTTATGGAATCTCTTCTTGTACCTGTCAATGTCTGAAGGTAGTAGGCTAATTTCAGAGCGATCTGTTAACTGTTCCGATCGAGATTTATAGCCCATTTCATAGTAAAGAAACCTTCTGGCTGTTTCAAGTTCTTTCTCTTTCTTCTTCTCATCCCAATTCAGTTCTCTGCCCATCAGTTCAACAATCCTGGGTAGGGCTTCTTCTGCAGCCTGGACATTGAGAAAAGCCAGGCAAGTGTGGTGTGAAATCATGTCCACAGCCGTGCAGGCATACTCCTTAATTCCATATTTCACCTCTCCTTCAGTATACGGAAATTCTGATACAAGTCGTACTCCAACAATAGGCCACCTTTTTCCAGTCACACTTGCCATTTTGGCCACTTCAAAAGCCTTGTCGCCATAAGTAGCAGCAAGATGCTGTGCCGCCTCACTTTCAAGACCGTAATCCTGGACAAGCCTAATGTACAGTGTGGGGCTCCAATCTTTGCCTCCTTGAAGGAAAAGTCCAACTGTTCTACTAGGTCCTGCTTTCAAATTGTAGGCACTTAATTCTTGATAGTTGAATTTGATGAGTGAATGCCCAAGGGCAAATCCCTAAGTAACTTATTTTCTCTGAACTCTCTCCATCCCTGCCTCTCATCACCACCACCTCTCTCCTTGCCTGGGCAACCCTTTCCTGCTCACTCTGGCCAAGAGCTCAGCAGCCTATAGGCAGCAAGTGAAGCTGTTTTTTAAGGGCCCTTCATTGACAACTCCAGGTAACAACCTCCAAAATGCTATTCAGTGAGCCTGTTCTGTGCCCCCAGGATGAGTTCTCCTTGGCACTGATTTGATGGGGAGGGGGTCCATATTTGTGGTAGGCAGGTGTGGGTGATGGGAAACAACTGAGAAAACCTTAGCTATTCCATGATAGCAAAGTAAAGACAGTGCTCAGAGGGAAGGGGATTAGGGAAGCTGCCTCTGGTGGAGAGGATATGGTGAGGCTGCCTTGAAGTGTGTTTGGCATAGTCTGGCCACAGCTACTCTCTCCCATCCATCCCAACTTATCCTTCATTCAGTTTCCTAGCACCACAACTGACAGCTAAAAACATTTCTACCAGCTCAGAATTAACATGGGATGGTGGGGGAGGAGTAGATGCTAAGTAAGTACTATATGCCAGGTACTTTCTACTTGATTTACTTTAATATTTGTAAGTAGGCACTGAGATAAATATAGCCACTGTACAAGTAGGGGGAATGAAGTTCAAATAGGTTAGGCAACTTGCTAAAAGTTCCAGAGAAAAATGACTATAAGGAAACATTTAGGGTTAAGCAGCTCAGTTGGCCTTTTGCTAGTTTGCATCCCTGTGGAGGTTCACAGCCAAATGGCCCCTGAGAGGGTCGTGTGTGTCCAGTGAGCTGCAGAGTCCAGGTGGAAAGTGAAGGCAGCCCAGTTTCACAGAGCCCTATCAGGTTCTGTAGTCAAGGCAACTCAGGCACCCCCTCCCTGCAGTACCCACGAGGATGGTCTAAAGGGAATGCCAAGTCATGTGACAGGTACCCCCAAATCAATATCCAGAGGTAAGTAGTGTTCTTGGTGGGGCTATGGACAGGAGAGAGGGGCCTTTCACCTTTCCCTGGGGGTTGCCAAGAGCTAGCTACCAGTCACTTTGGGTCCTTAGTTAGACACAGAGTAGAATTGTGGACACAGGTGTAACAAGCTTCTGCCACCACAGCCCAGTCACAGGCACCTCCACCCAGCCATCCTTCCAACTCTTCCTTCTCCCTTTCCCCCAAATCATTCCTTGATTTCTCTCAGTAATTTTTTTCATTGACTATCTGGGACACCTCTTGGACACTTTTAGTATTGTCAGAAGCTAAGAAGCCTTCTTCTTGTTACAGAAAGCATGAGACCCAAGCCTTGACACATAAAATAGAACTTTAGAAGGCAGGAATGGGCTACAACAAACAATAATCCAGATAGAAGAACTATTGTTAGCAAAGACAGAAAAGTGGAAAATCTGGGAGGAGTGTGAACAATAACTTGTCGTCCACTTTGGCAGAGTGCTTCCCAAGAACATCTGACCGTGTGGCAGCTCATGAGATCAGTGACCTGAGCCATGCACTTCAGGAGGTGCTGTGATAGACTGTGTGCATGCATGGTGGAGAAAGGAAGGTGAAGGCATTTATGCTTGCTCAACAGAATGCTAGTTCCCAAAATGCTCTGTAGAATAATAGTCCTAGTAATAAGCGTGGAAAACACCATTCTTAATGTGGATTCACAAGGCACAGTAACGAAGGCCACCCCACCCCAAACCTCACAATAAAGATACTTTAACTTTGCTTAGCCTTAAATGTATGAAACTTATTTCATCACAAATCCCTTTGTTTCAGGGAACATTTTCATTGGGGTAGGAGGAGAAGAGATTGATTTTTATACTTATGGTATTAATCTTTTTCAAATAGAACAATAGGGTATGCTTTGGCCAAACCAGCCCAGCACCTGTTTTTCTATAGCCCTCAAGCTATGAATTTTTTGGGTTCAAATTATTTTTTTAAAAAGATTTTTTTTTTGGTACCAGAGATCAAACTCAGGACCTTGCGCTTGCGAGGCAGATGTCAGCACCACTGAGCTAAATCCCTGACCCTAAAAAGATTTGAGGGCACATGAAAAGTATATGAAATTTAAGTTTCAATGTTCATAAGTAAGGTTTTATTGTACACAGCCATGCTCATTAATTTTGGTTGTCTGTGGTTGCTTTTCAGCTGCAACAACATTGTTGAGTAGCTATGATGGGATCACAAGGTCCTCAAACCTAAGTAGCTACTATCTGGGGCTTTATGGAAAAAGTTTGTCAACCCCTGCTCTAAAAAAGGTTGCAACAGGGCCGGGGACTTAGCTCAGTGGTTCTGCCATCTACCTCGCAAGCACAAGATCCCGAGTTCGATTCCCGGTACCAAAACAAAGGCTGCAACATATGTCTGTACTCCTTACTGAAAACATGCAAGTAGAGTTCTCATAAATAATCAGCCTATTTGATCTAAGCCTATAAGAGGCATACCTCAAAAAGCACATCTCATTTATTATTTCAGTTGATTTTTTTTTATTGTAAGTGAGGTTAAGCAGCTTTTTACACATATAAAAATGTTTCCTTCCTATAAGGTTTATATATTTCCATTTGGAAATATAATACAAACATATTTTTCTTATTACTTTATAAAAATATTAAGGAAATTAACATTTTTGTCTGTTTTGTGTGCAAATGTTTCTCCACTTGTTATTTGACTTTATTTTCAAGCAGAAAATGTTCACTTCTCAGTGAAGTGAAAGTGGGCTCAGGTGCTGCCTGCAAAAGTGTGATAGACCTAGGCCAACCAGACAGGACTTGTTTCCGGGGCCTTGGGACTCCGATGGTGAGTTAAGTAAATAGAAGCAGTGCTCAGTGAGGATGTCATGGGGACACCTCCTCCAGCTGGGCTGAGCAATGAGGAGGGACCACCAAAGAGTATAGGCTGCCCAGGAGTTTTGAGCAGTGATTAGTATAAGGCTGCACCTCAGAGGGATGGAGCATTTTGGGTTCAGGATCCTAGAGCCCAAGCTGTACTGGATAATGAGAAATCTGGCATAGCCATACCTGGGTTCCTTGAGTTCCCTTGGTGGACAGAAAGCTACCCTTCTAGTGTCCTGCACAAGACAGAAGTGTCATCTTTTACAGTGGTCAGTGACTCTCAGGGCTGAAGCCATACTGCCAGCAGAGACTTCAAGCAAGGTCTGAGGGGTTGGGATGGGTGGAGAGAAGATAAAGCATTACTGTAGGAGCAGCAGAGGGTGTAAGGCCAACACTGACCTCTCCTGCAGGGATGGCCTCTCTAGCCCTCCCAGCTTTCTACTTCAGAGAACCTAAGGAGGTACAGCCACATGTCCAAAGACAGCAAGCAGAAGCTTGGGAGGGCAGGAGATAACTGATGGAAAAGAAGACCAGACAGGGGCTGGGACCAGACCTTCCAAACTTGAATTGCAGGCTAACAGAGTCAGAGATTGCTGGAGATTTGGGGAGCAGGGCAGCCTGAGAGCTGCTCCCTTGCCTAGAGCTCCACTCCCAGGGCTCCCCTGCAGGTGATGATGGGGATGAGGGGGGAGCAAGAGGAGAGAGATCTAGGAGCTCACAAAGGTTCCACTGTGCCAGGCCAAGGCCTCCTCCAGAGCCTACTTGCTAAGAGAGAGGGAGTGAAGGATCTGGTTTAGAAAGGTGATTATCCTGGGGCTTAGGGCCTGGCCTGATGGCTGCTGACCTGCATGGCACTCCATATTCCACCTCTCCATCCAGGGCCTCCTCATTCCTCTTTGGTGCTTCCAGTTAGACCTACAGTGTTGGACTGAAGACTCTGTCTCCAAGGACCAGACCCCAGGGACTCTGCAGGCCCTGCCCAGGCCCTTGGCAGATGAGAAGCTCTGTGAGGGGTTGCCCTTCATTGAGTGACTACACAGGCTGAGCTCCAGCAGGGCACTTCATGTATAGGGCTCACATTTCATCCTTCTGGCAGCCTGCCCTATCAATATTCCTGTCTCCATTTTACAGATAAGAAGAAAGTCCTAGGAAGACTAAGTGACTTGCCCAGTCACAAGTCAGTGAATTCATGATGGGACTGGAATCCTTATTCAGGTTTGTCCACCAGTGAATCTAATCTCTAGCCCTTACATAGCTTTGTGCAAGAAACAACCCTGTGTCTTAGATATGCCCAGCACAGATTGGGGGGCTCATAAATGTCAATTTTATCATGCACTTTCTTGGCCAGAGTTATGAATCACACAGCAGCACTTGAGTCAGAAATGTTCCTCTCATGTTCATGAGGAGGAGGCTGAAACTTAGTGAAACTAAGCAAACTACCTAAGGTCACACAGCTAGCCCCTGAGAGGTCAGGAGAGTTAGAAGAGCTGCAATAGAAGGTGGAGTGGGCTCAGACAAGAAATGACAGGGATCAAGAAACTGAAGGCTGGGCCGGGGATTTAGCTCAGTGGTTCCTCTGCCTGCCTCACAAACACAAAGTCCTGAGTTCAATCCCTGGTACCAAAAAAAAAAAAAAAAGAAAAGAAAAGAAACTGAAGCCTGGAAGTGTCACTGGAAGCTGCAGATTTGCCATGGAGTGCCCAGCCCTGGCCCTCAGGTGGGCTCTCAATCATTAGAAGAACAGCAGTCAGACAGCTGGGCTCAGGATGTCTGCCTAGTCCTGGGTCTGTTTCCTCCTAACAGATGTGAGCAGCTGGACTAGTCTTTGATGGTAGTGTTTGATCAGTGATAACCTTTCTTTAAAATAATCTTAAAATGGATTTCATCACTTACCTGTTCAACAAATACTAGGACCTTCAGGATGCCTGGAACATAAAGTTGACTGGATTTTCTATTTCGAGTCTGATATTTGTCAGAAAAATTAAGGGTCTCTATCCTTCCACTCAGGGTGGGAATGACCCACTTGGGCTGCCAAGGGCTTGTGCCCCCATCTGGGAGTTGCTCACTATGATTCAGCACTGAAAGGTTCAGCATCAGCGCTAATAGGAGCCTTAGA